TTATTAACGCTCCTGAAGTCGCCATTTTGGGGGCTTGCCGTAGCAAAATTCAACCGGTTTGGGATGGCAAAACTTTTGCACCGAGGTTGATACAACCGCTGTCATTGTCCTATGATCATCGGGTCATTGATGGGGCAGATGCGGCACGGTTTTGTGTCTATTTAGCCAATATATTGACAGACTTTAGACGGGCTGCTTTGTAATTGTTTGATTTGTTTGGTTGAAATGGTGGTTTGGATAATGTGATGTTCAGGAGCCTTTGACATGGAAAAATTTTTCTCGGTGATTAAGAGGTTCAATAGTATTGCCCTTTTAGTGGGCATACTATTTTTGGTCGGCTTACTTGTGAAGGAGCGTTGGTCGCGGCACCAGTTTGTAGACCGTAGCACGGTCAAAGTTGCTGCTCAAGAAGGTGATCATTCGCAAATGATTCAACTTAGCTTAAGTAAGCCAGACCCAGTGGCAGGTTGGCCTTTATTAATGAGTCGATTTGAGTCTAGACCCAAGGGTAAGTTTGAAAGTAGTGCAGGGTATGATGACGGTAGTTTGCATAACATCTTGTTTATATTTCAAAATGAACCTAAAGCGAGATGGTTATTTAATCATCACCGTCACTATATTCGATCCATTGAACAAGTGGGTTTTCGCAAAGAGTGTGGTTCAAACGAAACTTGCGCGCCGTCGACAACACAAGCACTTTTGTTAAGCTACGCCAAAAAAGATACCAATCAAGATCAACGCATTAATCACGATGATGAAGACACACTGGCGATGACATTGCCAGACGGCACGGGAATGGTCGACATTTTGCCCAGTGCAGATCTTGTTTTGTCGAACGAGTTTATCGATGAGCACCATTTTTTGATTGTGTATCAGAAAAACAAAAAGCTCTATTACCTGAAAATATCGGTACCGGACTTTAAAGTGGTGGTTAATCAAGAAATCATCACTATTTCTGATAAAATCTAGCATTCATTTTTTAATGAGCTGCGCGAAATGACGCTAAGGCGTAACTCTGGGGTAAGGCTTGGCACGATAACTTGTGAGTCCTTTGAAAGATGCCCGATACCGCCTGTCAAAATCTAGCCAACTTCCATTGTGGATGCATGAATGGGAGTAAAATAAGTGCTCTTCCTATTTTTAGAAATACATTGTGACGATATTGTTATCATACGAGTACCCGCTCAATGAGCGCCTTAGAACCTTATTACGGTTAGAGGCTTTGTTTAGTCGCTTTGCTTATTTACAAGCACAGTTGCAACCTATTGAACATCATTTTGCGCTACAAACCTTTTTTGATATCATCGAGGTTTGCAATCGTTCTGATGTGCGTGGAGAAATTCTTAAGGAGCTCGAAAGACAGCGTCAAACACTGTTGTCGATGAGTGAAAATCCCAATATTAATCAAGATCGTTTAAGACAAACACTGCTGCAATTTGACGAGGTTTACGCCCCTTTGCATCAACAAAAAGGCAAACTCGGACAACATGCCATCGATAATGAGTGGTTAGTCAATGCCAAAAGTCGGATTTTGATCCCAGGAGGGACGTGTGATTTTGATTTGCCCCCCTATCATGCTTGGTTGCACCATTCTTCTGACCGGCGACGCTCCGATCTATCCAGTTTTTTACAACCTTTTGAACATGTACAGCAGGCCTTAAAATTGGTGTTAAAATTATTGCGCCAAACAGGGGCCGTGATGCAAGAGGTGGCTCAAGATGGATTATACGAGCGGAATTTGGCAGGCAGAGCCTATCATCTTGTGCATGTGGACTTAAAGGAAGGTAATATTATTCCTGAAATTAGCGCGAATAAATATGTGTTGAGAATTCGTTTTATGACGCAACCCGATATCAGAGAAAAACCACAGGTCGTTAATTTTCCACTGCATTTTGAGTTAAAATTATGTCAGTTTTAAATTTTATTTATAAAAATCAACGGTATTATAGGTATCCGTATGCCTAACCCTCCCATTGTGAAGTGTCCGACTTGTCAAAAGAAAGTGATTTGGCAGCCTCAAAGTTTGTTTCGCCCATTTTGCTCAGAACGTTGTAAAAACATTGATTTGGCCGCTTGGGCAAGCGGGGATTATACGATCCCGGTTGTTGAAATGGACGATGTCAGTATGCCAGACGAAGACGATAGGGCTTTAGATCAGCGGTGGCACTAGTTTTTACTGTGTAGGATGAACGGGTTGTTGGGCACGCCCACTTCTTCCTCCAAGACTACTTGTGAGATGTGTCGTTCCATTTTCCGATCCATTGTGTTAGCGAAACGACCAAGCGAAACGACGACGAAAAAGCATGACGAGTCGTAGCGCGAGGAAGGCGTGACCTAGCCTGAGTCTGTTGTCAACAAATAAAGATGTCCGCTTTTGTAGCACATAATACCAAACCGCTATCAAGATATTTAAAATAATGTTATCATTATGGGATGAAAACATTAAAATTGCTTCCTCATTTAAGCACAGCTGAAATTTTGGATAAAGTTTCAAAAAGTGAGCATCCTCATCA